GATTGGCTGGGTCACGTGGGCAGAGCCAAAAAGTCCCCCAATGAGCAGCTCCGTGGTCTGAAAGGGCAGGGAAACAGTCCAATGAGCATCACCGCAGAGGAGCCAATCAGCTAGATGTTGCTGGGGCCAAGGAGCCAATCAGCTAGATGTTGCTGGGGCCGCTGTGAGCCAATCATCAGTCGGCAGCTGGATTGCTGGCAGCTGGAAGTTTGCTGGGGCCCCTTCGGCTGTGGCTCTCAACAGGATACTGCTACATCGATGTTCATAGCAGCACAATTCACAATTGCTAGACTGTGGAACCAACCCAGATGCCCTTCAATAGATGAATGGATAAAAAAAATGTGGCATTTATACACCATGGAGTATTACGCAGCACTAAAAAATGACAAAATCATAGAATTTGCAGGGAAATGGATGGCACTAGAGCAGATTATGCTTAGTGAAGCTAGCCAATCCCTAAAAAACAAATACCAAATGTCTTCTTTGATATAATGAGAGCAACTAAGAACAAAGCAGGGAGGAAGAGCAGGAAGAAAAGATTAACATTAAACAGATACATGAGGTGGGATGGAAAGGGAGAGAAAAGGGAAATTGCATGGTAATGGAGGGAGACCCTCATTGTTATACAAAATTACATATAAGAGGTTGTGAGGGGAATGGGAAAATAAACAAGGAGAGATATGAATTACAGTGGATGGGGTAGAGAGAGAAGATGGGAGGGGAGGGAGGGGGCATGGTAGAGGATAGGAAAGGTAGCAGAATACAACAGTTACTAATAGGGCATTATGTAAAAATGTGGATGTGTAACCGATGTGATTCTGCAATCTGTATTTGGGGTAAAATTGGGAGTTCATAACCAACTTGAATCTAATGTATGAAATATGATATGTCAAGAGCTTTATAATGTTTTGAACAACCAATAAAAAAAAAAGAAAAAAAATGTTAGCTTCAAGTTTGTTTTAAATGACCTCATTATTTAATACCTGGTATGACTTCATAAGCTTCAATTGTTAGTCTCTCAGATACTAGAATCTATGCAATTAAGAATGTAAAAATGCACAAAATAGAAATTGCTGACATTGTAAAGAAATAATTTCTGGAGAAAATGTAAAGTAGGGCAAACATTTTTAGTACTCTCATATCTCCTTCAGATTTTATTTCTCAGGCATCAAAGTCCTCAGGCTGCTGCACCCCAGGCTTTCTTTTTCCTCAATCCTCATTTATACAAACAACCTTCTTTATCATGTACTCCATTCCTCCAGGTTTTTCTTTTTCATCAGTGAACTGAGAAATACACCCTTTAAGCTCCAAATATTACCAAATTTACAATGATGTCTTGATGGTTTCTACAGGTGGTCATCATAAATTTAAATGCATGGCCAATAAATGGATAAAACTTCGAATCAGACTGAAGATGGGAAACATTAGTAAAGCACAAAATGCACATAGTTTTTTTCTATATTTACTTGCAAAAATTACTTCTGTATTTTTCACATGCATGACATTACCAATGTTTAGACAAATGTTTAATATTTCATAATATAGTTTTCTCATGTGTGGGTTAAATAAAAATGTTACATAGTAATATACTCTGAATATAACAAGCTTCAAACTTAATTTTATTAAGGATGCTTCTTTTGGGTTTGTTTTTAGCTTGTGTTATTTGAGGAAAAAAAAAGAAATATCAAAATAATAATTTCATGTCAAAAAACATTTCACTTGAATAGTAGGAAGTTTAGCCTTTTCATATGAATAATAACTATCTAACATTTTGTCCATATTTTGCACCTTCATCAAATATCATTCACATAGGAAATACACATTTTCGGTTTAATGTGGATTCAGTGGCATTATATCAGCTATAAACCACCTTGGATGACTTTGCTGAGAATCATAGACACTAACAACCTGTCAGGTATTCAAAAAAGAACCAGCTGAGACAGCAGAAGCTAAAATTAAATTTTAAGTCTCTGGATCTGATGCACTAATCTCTCCACTGTTTTTCAAAAATCAGAGTGTTTTCAGCAGAATCCAGAGGTCTTAGATGCAGGCAACCCTATGTAGCTGGAACTGACTGCAAAATACATCACCCTTCTCTCAAGCTAATCACCCCATACACCTGGGACCCTCCTTCCAGCTTTTCTGGACCTCAGACATCCTGGAGTCTTTTATCCTGTGGCATATTCCAACAAATTCTGTGATTTGTGGATATCCACATTAAAGGTTTAAATGTAAACGTATGATAAACCAATTCCCTTATCTTCATATCAGGCATCTAATTTGACCCCATTCCACCCTGGGTTTAACTGACCAGATATTTAGCAGAATTTACCAACCTGATCCAGTGAAGACTGTGATGCACTCTCTTGTCTCCAAGAGAAGTTTGAAGGAATTTAGAAGTTTGAAGGAATTTATATTCTCTCTCTCTCTCTCTCTCTCTCTCTCTCTCTCTCTCTCTCTCTCGCACTCATTGTCCCTTAAATGTGTATCCCTTGCTTTATTCCAAAGGTTTCTCATTCTCAAGATAGCCCACATTCTCCCTTGAATGTGCATCCAATTCCTAAATAAACCTCTGTCTATGCCTTTGGGGAAAAAAGATAATCTCAAACTGCTTTGGTAGCAAGCCTTCTAGGATGGGAAACTTAATTACCAAGACACAAAACTTTAGCAATAACCATAATAAAAGGTTCACTTCTAGGGTGATCACTAGAATGGAATAAGATCAGCCATTTGAGTCAGAAAGAAAAAGAACATTTCCAATATGCTTCATGTCTCTCTGTGTGGTATAAATCAAACTTGAGTTTTGCTGGTCTATAAAATCAAACTTAGCAAGACTATAATTACAGGTAACCTTGTAATTTTAAACCCCACCCCCCAAAAGCTTGCAATTCTATCATATTTACATGGTAAAATAATTATGTAGTCTACAGTATTTGTTTAACTGCTTTTCACCCCCTTCCCCCCGACCCCCACACACACAGACATGACAAAAGTTGTCGGGAAGAATTTTGCTTTGAATCATTTTAGCTTCTGGGGCTTGATTTTCACTACCATGAAACTATACCAAACCTATGATTTTTCTGTCTGCATCACAAAGGCTGAATTTGGTATTCTAATTTTGGGCCAAAATGATCTGGCTATACTTTAAACAACACAAAAAAGAAAGGAGGAAAGAAAGGTGGAAAAAAAAGAAAAGAGTGCAATTCAAATTCCAAGCATCTACCATATAGTCCACCTATCTCAGATGATGACTTAGACCTACCTATTCCTTCTTGTAAATTCAAAGAATTAAAAAAAGAAAAGGAAAGAGACAGGTCAGGAGAACTGGTATTTACTGAGGGCTATAGGAAAGGGATGTTGCATTTTAAAATTGAATACAGTCTTAATCCTTTACAAGTCCATGAGGAGTAATGAAATCCTGATCTGCTTTTGGTCTCCTCTTTAAATTGAGTGAGCTGATTATCAGCATGCAGGAGGATGTGGAAGCTGCAAGGGTATCCCAGACAGGGGGACACAAGGAGGTCAGTGTTGCATTATCTGTGCCCACTTGACCTTAGATCTTTGTCTTATATCAGCCATTCTTCCATAGCTGGTGCAATTGATGCCACTGGCTGCTCTGACTGGCATCCACAGAGAATACACAGAAAAACAGGGCCATCTCCTAGACTGATAATTATGTAAAACACAAGTGTATTATGGAGGGAACAACCTGCCAGCACTATCCTGCCAAGATGCCACATGCCTCAAACCCACAGTACATTTCAAACATAGCCTCAGTTAGTTGATCTAAACACCTAGCACAAATTACTAAAAACTCTAATCCTCTCGATTCTGTGAAATAAAATATCATGGCACTTACACCTTGGGGAAGATTTTCAGACAAATTTAAACAATCTACAAATAGCTCACACTTCAGGCACTCAGGGATCTCTCATTGAAGGAACATATGTTTGTGTGCTGTCCTCATCCAGGTCCACCTCCTCCTCCTCACCTACATAGACATCTCTCAGTGCTGAGGACAGTGTGAAGAACACATTCTCTCCATGTGGATGACAGTGTGTGCTAAGAAGGACCAGTGTGGGAGGAAAGGAAAACTGTAGTGACATTGCCGCCATGCTCACCACCATCATGGATGTCACACACATGCCTCGAGGCTCAGTCCCCATGACTGACACTGTGCAGCGCTCTCACCTCTGGGCAGCCACACTGCATGTTGGTCCTTCCTCCATCCTCACCTCCCTCAGCAGTTACCTATTTACACTGGCTCAGGTGGTCGTGACTAAGGAGAGTGGATTCCACCTGACTAAGGAGAGTGGATACCCAGTCACCTTCCACCTCATCTTTAGGGCTGACATGTGTGCACACTCAGGTATGGACTTCCTAGACACAACCAGGGTGAGCAGAAACACAGTGTGGGGCTCACCTGATGGGAACCATCAAGCTGAAATGCTGGAGGCACAGGCTGCCCATTGACTATTGTGTGACCTTGGAGGCTCAAAGCATGGAACTCCTGACTGGCCAATAGATGAGCATATCATAAACTAAGGACTACCTAACAGCAATGGTGGAAGAATAAGGGTAGAAAATGAACATCAACTGATGTGTTTCAGTAATTCTTTGTGAAAAAAGTCCATTTTCACTATTGGATTCTTTATTTTTTAAACATAGTAGCTTCCCGAGAACATTTTCATTATGGCACTGTAAAATTATAAATATTTGCCATTATCGCCATCATCAATAGCATAGTTTAATGGCATTAAATATAAACTTTGTTGTGATACAATAACCACCATCCATCTCCAACATTCTTCATAGTACAAATATGAATCCTTGTTCCCAGTAGGAACACTTCCCAAATTTGCCACCCAACATAGTCTGCACCATTCTACTATGGAACTCGATGGGACAATAACACATAAGGGGCATATTGACAGGGCCAGGTATTTAGCTTTACTGCATTTTCCCACACACATTGCAACCAGACCCCACATGGACAAAGATCAGACTGTCAACCTCTGCAGCCTCCTCAAGGCCCTTTTAATATCCCTGTTCCTCAGGCTGTAGATGAAGGGGTTCAGCATGGGGGTGACCACAGAGTACATCACAGAATCCACCGCATGCTTTGTGGGAGAATGTGATACAGCTGAACCAAGGTACACTGCAGTACCTGTTCCTAAAAATAAGCAAACACCTGCCAGGTGAGAGCCACAGGTGGAGAAGGCTTTGTACTTCCCACCTAAAGAGGGGATTCTCAGAAGAGAGGACATATTTTTATAGTAAGAGAAAAGGATTCCTGAGATGGGAAAAAGACCATATACAGCAACAAGAAAATACTTGTCAGTGTTATTAGAGTAGGTGTCAGTGCAGGAAAGATTCAGAAGTAGAGAAGGGTCACAGAGGAAAGTAGAAATTTCAACATTCTTGAAGTTGGTAATTTGTAAGATCATCAAATTGTGCAGCTGAGAGTCCAAGAGACTCAGCAAAAATAACACCAAAATTGAGAAGCCACAGAGGTGAGGGTTCATAATTACTGGATAATGCAGGGGGTGACAGATGGCCACAAACCTGTCATAGGCCATCACAGTCAGAAGCATATAATCCATACAAATAAAAATGAGAAAAAGAGACATCTGTGTCAAGCATCCTTCATAGCAGATAAGTTCATTATGAGTTTGAATGTTTACAATCATGTTTGTGACCATGGTGGAGATGACACCAATGTCAGCCAAGGACAGGTTGGAGAGGAAGAAGTACATGGGGGTGTGGAGGTGGGGGTCAGAGCTGATGGCCAGGATGATGAGCAGGTTCCCAAGCAATATGACCAGGTACATGGACCAGAAAAGTCCAAAAAGCACTGCAGGTCTGCAGGTCTGGGTCCTCTGAGAGGCTCAGGAGTTGGAATTCAGAGACACGGGTTACGGTTTACGTTTTGTGCTAGTATACTCTATGGACACCTTTAAAAAAAAAACAAAGCAGGTGTTACAAAAAAAAAATACATAAACAGGCACCCCTTATTCTGTAAGCATTTGAAATTAAGTATGTACAAGGAAGCTGCTCACACTTTAGGTCCATACACCTTCAACAACAGTTGTCAGTAGTGAGACTCCCAGACTCTACATACTCTTTCATTCTTTCTGCATAATTCACTCTCTTTCCATACTTACATTTGCAGCATTTTCATAAGAAAAGTTAGAAATCCAGGAGCAGAGGAGAGAACAAGTTCATGATCACAATGGAGTATAGCTTACTCTTTAATAAAAAAAGGAAATAGGTAATGACTTCCTGTAAGAGAAATTAGGAAGCAGTTAATATAACTCATTTGGTTCTAAGGCCTTGGAACAAATTCCTTTGACCAGACATTTGTGACTATGTAATGACTGCTTTTCCTGACAACTAAATCAAGGGGGATGCATCATAACCAGAAAGAAGTATGCTCTATTTTCGGCAAGGGTCTCATCATTCTTTGATCTTCTCATTTGCCTCCTTTGTGCATTTAAGTCTTCACTTTAAAAATTATATAACAAGAAATAAGAAACCTTGCCTATGATAAACTTCAGATTTTGATAAACAAGATTGAGTCAGTGCACGTAATCAATAATAGCATTAACCACAAATGTGGCACTGGTGTGCAGTGTACCTGTCAATTATATTTAAATCCTAGACTGTAAAATCTCCTTTGAATAGTTTTATTTCATGCAGGTTTATTGTGTCAACCAATACAATATCAGCAAAGTATCTGTTCTATAAAATGACCCTTAACTTTTTTTTCTTGATCCTGTACTTCCTCTAGCCTGCCAAAACTGCTTCATGGTTTTATGATCAATCATTGAAGTATATTTTTTTATGATCTGAGAAAAAGGAAAGCCCTTAAACTCAAGTTTTATTTCCAATCTTCTTATTTTTTCATGGATTTTCTGGTCAGTCATTCCTGACACCTTCATTTCAATTCTCTTATTTAGGCTACATGAAGTACACTTGGGTTCATTTTTATTTTTCACCATGATTGAACTGGATACAGCACAAAACAGAATATAATAAGAAATAATAAAACAACTTCTTCAAAACTTCCTCACCTGTAAAATGGGGTAATAATTCCCAACCTTGTATGGTTCTCATCAGGAAATTATTTTAACAAATCTTTACAACTGCATAAATTGTAATTCTCTCCCACTATTAAGTGTCCCTGTGTATATTTTAGAATATCTATACACAGCGATGTCAGACCAACACCAATTGTCCACATTTGAAGTTCTCCATGGTCCTTTCTTATACCAAATCTGATATCCATTGTCTAACAACATCCTGTCATAGAACATGCTCCATGAATATTATCTACTCTTATTTTCCATAATACCCATTACCTATATTAAAATACATTAATCTGATAATACTTGTGCCAGGACTAACATTGGCAAAGGATCTGAATCATTATATAAGAGATTTGAGTCTTTGTATCTCTGCCTGATTCCAGTCTCTTGCAAACCTGTCTCCCAGATACATCTATTGTCATGAAAGGGGAGGTGTAATTTTCTGTTGGTATTTTCATTTCAGTGTTATCTACCATACATTTTCCTTTACAAAATTGCTTTAAAAGTACCTAAAAATACTCATCTAAGTATTCTGCAAAGCAATGCCTATTGCCCATGAAAATATACAAGTTTACATTAACCTGAGGTGATAATTCCTCTGTGAAGTACATTCTTCTTCTTCGGTTTTAATCTAATGCTAAATGCTACCTGAAGAAAGGACACTGTCATTTAGTTGGAGAATTTATTAATATGACAATGATTTCAAAACCCTTCTTCCAATTGATTTGTCACTCAAATAAAAATATGCTTGCTTTGGCAACACATATATTAAATTGTAATGATACAGACAAGATTAGCATGGCCCCTGCTCAAGGATGACATGCAAATTCATGAAGTGTTCCATATTAAAAAAAAAAAAAGAATGTTCCATAACATCTTGGTTGGGGATATAAGACTGATTTCCAATGAAAAAAATGCATGTTGAAATTTGCTATTAATGACCTACATTTGTGTCCGTATAAGAGCAGACAATATCACCTGCATCGTCTCAATCCTAATATTTATCAGGAAAATGAAGCCTCAGCCTGAGTAGTAATATGCTGTCCTTGAAGAGTCCTGAAGAAATTTCAACTTGTGCAGGGAACACTGTTTCACTCTGGCTGCAGCGGAAGAGCTGGTGCCCTGGGCTGGAGTCAGGAAGGCAGCATTTCAGACCCACATCCCACCTGCCAGTGTGTGCACAGTGTGTGAATCTCTCCTCCTCTCCCTGCTCACTGCTTAAGGGAAACACAGATTATAACACCATCTCCACAACATGTGCTACATAAAAGGAAAACGTGGAACTCAAGAAATATTTGGTCACTATTATTTCAATAAAAATATTCCATGATTAGGTAACTATCAGCATTACAGAGGAAAGCCATGGTCAAGGGCACTGGAGGCTGGAATGAGGTGTAACTCTGACCTGTGCCTCGTGAAAGGCGGCAGTGTTAAGTGCCCTTCAGCTTCTGCCTCATTGCCATTATTCAAATCCACGAAGATTTCCATCATGATTTCTGAAACTTTCTACTGTGGATGACACTAAATAAAACTAAATGATCCCTATGTCCAAAACATGGAGAGAGAAAGACACTATTTTAACTTCCATGGGCACTGCTAAAAGGAATGAATGTTCAGACAGAAGGCCACAAGTTTGATCATCCATATTCATTTGGCCAATTTAGGACAGAAAGGATGGGTGGGTTTAATGTCCAACAGACCTGCTCTAGACATCTCCTGTGCCAAGCAGAGCATGGATCCTGGAGTGTAAGAAATAGGAAAAAGGAAACTGTTCTAAAATGCAAAGCACATGTATCTGTAAGGGCAAAAATACAGTGTCCCATCCAGAAATATGAAAGGTCACTTCAGACCACTGAATGCATGAGTTGAGTGGCATGAAGATCAACCTAGTCATGCTAGCAGTAACAATAATGTCTAGATTTTTTTGCCCATATTTTATTCACATATCTCATATTATACAGAGAATAGCACCAAGTATCTATTTGTCTTTACTCATTGCAGTTGCATCAGTGGGAAATCAACTCAGATGGCAAGGCTGACTTTAGACCCCCGTGAAACTAGTGACTGACTTACAGACATAGAGATTGGGACTGACAGACTCTAAAATGGATCAATCAAAGATTTTTTTTTTTTACTTTCCCACTTAACAGTTTTCAGCCTTAGTCCATAGATCCTAACCACTGGTAAATCTCAGGTACATTTTGTAACACTTTCCAGTTTTTTTCAGTGGGATTGAAATCAAGACCTAAAATTAGTTTTCCTCTGAGATTAAGAAGGCTGTTTTCATGCCCTCTCAATCTCAGAGGAAACCTAATGTTAGGTTTCATGGAAGATCATGTGGTGAGCTCAAGGAGGTTATGGAGGGAGGCCAGGAGCATGATTTATGCTGAATGATCATGAGCCTCTCTTACTATAATCTCTCAAGGGACCTGTGGCTGTTCCTCCATAGTATATGAACCAAGTGCCCCAACTGCTCTGCCCTGTGATTCCCCAGGAATCCTACAGGAAGTGTACCATGGGCAAGGCTCTTCTTCTTCAGGACAGGCTGTCCCATCTTGCAGATGGGAAAGACTGCAAGGATTCTCCCGTGATGCCCTGTGTCCATGGTCAGACAGCCCAATGCAACCAGGCTGCTGACACCTAGGAAACAAGAAGAAGTTGCATAATTATAAAGTTCTTTTTTATTGTAAAAGAATAACAAATGAGGCATGCATTATCAGAGTAGGACACACAAGAAGTGAGACAGATAACACAGAATCTGTTCCTCAGCCCCTGAGCCTGGGAAGCCCTGAGTGACAGTTCATGATGCTCTGGCTTCTGTCATCCCCTCATCGTCCTTATCAAGACCACCACAGGACTTTCCTAGAGCTTAGGAAACATAGTTGAAGGACCAATTTTTATAGGAAATAAAAACTGCATCGGTGGAGAGCACATTTTAAATAAGTTATATGACATCCCAGCAAAAATATTTTTAAAAATTCACAAATACCATACATGAAACTTGACTTCCTGATATCCCCCCATCTGGGAACTCCAACTTTGATGTTTTTTGATTCTGATAAAGAAGCAACACTTGCAATTCCAAGGCTCCCAGTGCACTTACAGGGTTATGCTGCTTCTCTGCTGGGTAATGATAAGGAGTGCACATACCAAGACCCACCCATACCTGGTTCCCAACAAAGGCTCAGACTCTGTGCCCAGCATTCCCAGGAATATGCTGTCATCTGGGAGCTTCCTGATGCTGAACCACAGCAGGGGACATAGCCACACAGCTCACTGGACAAGAACTCTCAGTGGAAGGGCTGCAGGCACAGACTGAATGTGGATTAATATAGGACCTTGGAAGCTCAATCCACAGAGCTCAAAAAAAGACTGATTGGTCCATGCAATGCCCATCTCTAAGGACTTCCCAACATTAATGCAGAAAGATGAAGAAGAGAAAATCAAGATCCACTTAAGATTTGGACCCTATCTTTAATTAGGAAGAACCT